TCCGTTCTCAGTGACTTGTAAATCGATTTCGGACGAGTTTCCCGTAGGCATCTTACCAATCACCGCTACCGAAGATACGGCTGCATATGTGTACCCATGTATGCATGCAGCATCACGGCCGCTTCATACCAATCCCTTCGCTTCATAATTTGCTTAGCAAATGAATGAATACGAGCGTCAGGAACGGTCGTCCATTTGTGGGCGGGCGGGCGTGGCGGGCGTTTGGGACGTAAAGTTGTGGCTTGATAGGGCCCTTATAAGGGCACCTTCCTCGGGGAAACCGCTATGCAGCGCCTGCCCAGGGTCGCGGAATTCTATCCTGCCAGGAGTATTGATCCTAGTCGTCTTGGGGGATTTATCGTGCCAACTGCCTTTAAAGCTTTCCATTGACCACATAATTGGATATTCTAAAAATGTCACGAACTCTTGGGACAACCTAATACAATGTTCGCTGCTCGTGCAGGCCGAGACGTGACTATCACTGTTTTTGTTGATGCGCTTCTCTTCTTTGCGGTCTTAGAAGGAAGGGAGAACAGTCAAGGTACACTGTTATGCCCGGCCAACCATCGTCGATCGCACTTCCGGGGAATGTCAGTAACAAATTACTGAAATCAATACCTCAGAAAGCTCTGTGCGGGTGTCGCTCCATAGACGGGGAAAATCGACAATAAAATTTCAAAGATCACAAAATCAATAGTGAACAGAATGCATCTGTACGAATACGGGATGCGATACAGTAGGAAAACTGAAGTGATGTGTGAAACGCAGACTGAAAAACACGGCATTTTTGAGGTGACATTACGATGGCAGAGTTTCCCACCCTTCAATTCCAAAAATAGATATACTTTACCACGTACCTGGCATAAAAACCATCGAAGTGAACGGTTTCACCCCGTATAGATTGGATTTGGCAATAATCATCTGAAAGGGAAGTTTCACCTGCAGTTGAATAAAAAACACTGTGGAAACATCAGAACACCGCTATGAGGCTAACCAAGCCCTAGGTGGAATCGTGGCTTTCAGATTCTTGACCTTTCCGTTTTGCGCGCGCTGTACATCCGTTCCATTAACGTGGAACTGCTAGTACTTACAGATGACTGGTATTTCTAATAGTTGATGGGTGCTGCCTGCGCCACCCCTTCCCCTCCCCAACGGCAAGCAAAACTGTGGGGAAAAAGATAGACTAGGGAGGATGGGGACTGGGAGGAGTCGCACCAGAGGATGGGATTCCCTGGAATCAATATATGATGATATCCCTTACATTGGAGTCTGACGAGCAGAAGTGGAGGAACCAAATTGTTCGTCGGTTCCTGTGCCCTTCATCCCCGACTGCTCTGCTCCTAGGCCTATTTGCTGCCTACCACAAGAGAGCGCACTGTAGAACCGTCATGTGAAAAAGGAGGGAAATCGGGCCAAATTGGAGCTCGACACGAGGAACTGTAAAGCAAGATTGGAAGGCATTAAGGCAGAGTAGTGAAGCTTGGATGAACTTGGATGTCTGGGCGATGCCAAATCCAGGTTTTACGCGCCTGCAGCTGCGCTCGTGGTAGGCTGCCCAACCTACCTAGTATCACTTCCGCTCATCAATAATTCCAAGACAATATTCAAAAACATCGCACTGGCTCACATGTGGTCCAATGGCGATGAAAGACGAGATCAAAAATGAAACACTTGTTAGCAATACGTGGGCATATGGGCAAATACGGTCGAACAATGTTAGAATAATGAGCACCAACAATGTGAAGAACTGCTGTATCACGATTGTATGCTGCATTTCATCTCTAAACATGCAAATCACAAGAACTTGTTTTCAAATCTCTAAATAAATCTTATAAAAGTGAAGGAACATTCCTATAGTAAACATTTTGTTATGGGCAGTGGAGGTACCACACCCAAGGCAACTGACATGACAAACTAGGGATAGCATCTTAGAAACTCATGGGCTCGTGGTAGAAGCTGTGAACGTTCGAGGAGAACTGCTCCATCACAGAGTTTTGAAGCAGAATGTTTCAAGAGGCCTAAGAGTCCTCGGGATATCTGTCACCGCCGGCGACCGTTCATATTCTTGTTCTTTTCCTTCTCCTTTCCGTATTTCTCATCCCCTTCTTTGTTTTTGAACAAAAGAACTGTTGAGAAAACACCTCCAGTGGACCCCTCACAGCGGGAGAGAGGCATCTGGTTGACTGCTGTCTGTATAACCGATGGTCATTCATAGTCTCAATGGGTAAGCTAACCATCGATGCGGAGAGAAGAGAAAAATCTTTGGGTGAAAAACTGGAAAATGGGGGGAAAATGAAAGGTAGGTGTTGGGAAAGGGGAGGGGGTCGTACCTGGACCTATTTTAGGTGGGGGGAGTCGTTCCAAGACTCTCCCCCCCTCGAGAGAGGGGGTCGTATCAACCACCACGTTGGCACACACACGATGCTGTGCCCTGGGTCCGGAATGTGGCGCAAGTTCACCAGCATGCTCGACGAGTTCAGGTTCCCAAATTTCGTTAAAAATTCATAGATTTTAATTTGCGTTTGCTTTTCTGAATTTCTCTGTTCTCGACCTGGAGTAACTTCCTTGAACAATTCAAGTCTGACTGCAATCAGAATTGATTTCAACCATAACAGACTCACGGACAGTAAAGCCGGCAAACCATTATATTGCCAAAGGCTGCAGGTAAGGATAGAAATAAAAACATCATACAGTCGGAAAAATTGCATATAATTGCTTTGTTACTGAAACAGAAGAACTATAGAACAGAAATAATAATCATGGCAACCAGAAAATAAGTGGTAAGTTTCGTAAGAAACAAAACTGGGTGATGGTACTCACCTAAACGGCCAAAGAAGATAAGGTGATACTTGGCTCTTTGGATGACGACAGTTGAACATGTTATTGATGCTAGAAGAAAAAAAGGTTAGGAGAAAAAGCACACTTATATACTTGGGCGATTTTGAAATGCCGAGAAGCATATGCGAATTACAGTAGACTGTGCTGACTGGGCGTACCCCAGTGACCCCCAGCCACCAGTGAAGCTGGTTCGGCCCGCCAGCTCGTTCTCCAACAGTAGTAGAAGCGGGTAAGTGGCAACAGCTGGTAGAAAACGAAGACACGAATGATATAACAGTCACTTGCCGAAAGGAGAAAGTATAGAATAAAAAAACGGCTAGCGCCCCGCCAAGTCCTTCTTTCTTTACACACCCCATTAGCCGCAACGAACAAGACTGTATTCGAATTGAATGCGTAATTGTTCGAATTATTCATGTGGTCTTTAACTACAGCGAACGAGCCAAGCAGCCAAAGAATTATTCGCTGGTTTGGGGATATTATTGTGGGTGCCGTCACATCGCCTTTAAAAAAGACGGGGCTAATTCTACCTCGGTTCGTGCCACAAATGTTGGACAACACGCAAATCTTTCATTATGCTATGATTACAGCCTCATTGCATTTTTGTCGCAGGTTACATTTTTTGCGGTGGGCATGATTAGGGTGACCCGCTGCCAAAAGTGAGCCGCAACAGATGGCGTAGCCCTTAGTGGCCGATCCAGGGGCTTCGCCATGTATCTCTCCATACACCGTACCCATGGCACGAGAATCGCCTTCAGGGTAGAGTCTCCAGTCAGCTGTATGGGCGGAGTCAGGCCTGCACCCGCGCCTACTTCAATGAGGGCTCCATCCCAAGAGAAATATTAATGGGTTTTCCGTCTTAGTCGAGGTCTAATCCAAAGTACCAAAAGAGGCGTTGCTAACGGTGTCAATGCGCGACATTTGCAACAGGACCTAACTGATTTATAAAGTAAATGTGCTGCACTGTGACAAGTCAACCAGACAGAAAATTTTCCTACGGCCGGCCTACGGTCTTACCTACAGTTTGCGCGCGATGCAGAAATGCTGAGCTAATACTTCATTTCACAAGACCACTTTAACACCCATCCTTTTCGTTTTTGCAACCATTCACTTTTCATACTTTGAGCTGTTGCAAGGCAGTGGGCACGGTTGCTGAAAGCGAGCGGTTGTTGCCAGCGTCACTGGTTGGAAGGGCTGTGAGAGAGCGCCTTGGTCGAGCTGAGTGTGCTACCCAACCTCCCCACCAAACACGGTTGGCGACAACTTTTTCCGCCTTCAACGCTCGCCCACTGCCCTCAAGAGAACAAAGAGCTATCTTACTATCTCACTTGTTCAGAGAGAAATTTGTTAGACTGTTCTCAATCAGTGTCATCGACTGGATAGTATTGCTGTAGTTAGGTCGACGAGGAGTTTCGTCCTGAAATGGAGCCCATATATAGGTCGTTAATGATATACCAAATGCTCCTGGCAATTGCATTATAAGACTACAAAGCAATCAATCAATTTCTTCGAAACCCACCGTCATAAGGCCAGGTTCAAAGCAGGTAGACGATTTTTTACGATTGAAATTAGCAAATGGAGTTTCCGCACCCCAAAACTCGACCATTTTTGAGACCTTAGAAGTATTGGTGAATCTTTTAGAAGACATTGAATAATGAAGACAGAGCTACCAACTTTGGCCTTCATGCTGTGCCTGCATTGAACTACGGTGCGGGGGTGGTAGCGTTGTTTGGAAGTGTGAGAGTTTTTTCGCCGTCACAAAGGCCCAACGATCTTCTGGAATACAAAAAATGCGCTCTTCTAGTGGTCCCTCAAGTTTTTGGTTCCAGTTTAGTTTTTTTGGTTAAATCACGTTAAATATCCAACTACCTGTTCTTGTAGTATGGCCATGCAGTTCGTTCGACCGCACGGACTTTGAGGCTTCTGCGCGAGAATATCTGGTATCGTTATGGTTCACCATAGGCCAAAACATGCGGATCGTCAGACCTTGAAAAGATATGGTAACCTACAAAGGTACGGTAATGTTTTGACATAACCAGAATAAGTGAGGCCTGCAAGTAGAAGTATTGAACTGAGAATAAAAAACGAAGAAATC